AAAAGCAATGGAAACATACCCTCAAGTGAGGATAAACCCCACCCTCCCAAAAAAAGAAAAGTATATGGATATTTGGGTAAGTGGAAGTGACAAAGGTAAGGCACTAAAAGGCAATTGTGTTGGCTTTCCTGTCTTTTTCTTTTTTTAAAAAAAAATTTTTATTATTTTTTTACAGAGAGGAAGGGAGCAGGAGAGGGAGAGAGAGTTAGAAACATCAATGAGAGATGTGCCCACAACAAAGGTACATGCCCTTGACCGGAATCGAACCTGGGACCCTTCAGTCCACAGGCCGACGCTCTATCCACTGAGCCAAACTGGTTAGGGCAGCTTCCCTGTCTTGATTGTCTTTCGTGTACAGACTCCAGGAGCTGCCTTCCTGCCTTCAGTGTCAGAAATCCAAGAGCGAGTGAACGAACATCACTGAACACCTCCATGTTCCCCATGTCATTCTATTTGATGCTCATGGCAACACTGGGAATGAAACGTTCAGGTGAGGACAGACTCCAGAATTGTTAATAGGATTCAGGCCAGGTCTTTCTAACTCCAAGTTTTTAATCGTTCAAGTTCATCCCAATACAAATCGCCCTGGTCACTAACTCCCTGTCCTGGGCTGAGCACAGCCAGAGACAGAGAAAGAAAGAGAGAGAAAGAGAGAGAAAGAGGGAGGTCAGGACAGGTCCACTGGGCTCCAGCCGCTTGGGTTTCACATCGCAGAACCAGTCTGGGCACTTAATGGGCCTCTAACCCAGCCTTGAGGTGACTGGTGGCCCTTCTCTGGTTTCAGCGCGGACACTTCAGCTCATAGCTTTCCTCTGAATTGAAACGCTGAGTACGAGATGTGCACAATCTTAAAGTCAATCCCAGAAAAGGCTGTAACCACGACATTTTTCATGACTTGATAACAAGAGGCCCGAGACGGCAGAGCTGGGGGTTGGCCCGGGTGCCGACCGCAGGCTCTGGTTCCCTGCAGACTGCATTCCGGGGCTTCAAGTGTCCTCTCCCGTGTACCACGCGTGTTTACCCTTTGCACACTCCACCTCGCTCCCTTCGACCTGGTGGAGGTGGGAAGATGAAACCAAGGCCACTCCAAGAACAAGCCCTTGAGACTGCTGCGGTGCCGGGCAGGCTCTTTTTAGCATTTCACACGACCCTCTGGCATATGCAGAACTGCCTACACCTCAGAGGTGTACTAGTTTCCTAACAAAGGATCGCAAACTGGGAGGCTTAAAACAACAGGAGTTTATTCTTTCACAGCTCTGGAGGCTGGAAGTCTGACATGGAGGAGGTGCCTGCAGGGCTGGTTCCCTCCGGAGCTTTGAGGGGGACACTGTCCCCCTCTCCTCTCCCTTGCCTTCTGGTGGTTGCCATCGATCCTGTTTGTGACAGCACAGCTCCAATCTCTGTCTGTCTCTCCATGGCCTTCTTCTCTGTGTCTCTGTCTCCTCTGTGTCTGTGTATCTCTTTGTGTCCCTTTTGGATAAGGACACCAGTCACTGGGTTTAGGGCCACCGCATCGGCTTCATGCTTCAATGCCCTCCTGCTTCCATGGTGAGTCTGGGGCTCCACGCTCAATCTCCCCACAGCCCGCACTCCGTGCTCACACCGTGCGCAGGGACAGGGCTGCTCCACACCTCCATTCCTTAGCAAATTCTGTCCTCTCTGCCTGGACTGCCCCACCCCGCCTTCCTCTCCATCTGAAAACTCTTCCTGATCCTTTAGGCCTCTGGCCCTGGGTGAGGGCCACCCCGAATGCCATGGGGCGAGTTGACTGTGGCCTTTTGTGCCCAGGTGACAGACTGACTAGTATCTTTCTCATCCTTGTCGTCTACTTCCTACAATGCTTGGTGCCCAGTTGGCTCACAAATGCTTCCTGCATGGTTTAAGCTGCTGAATGGAAAAGCCACAGTGAGCAGGAACCTGGTGGGACTTGTGAGCCGACACTGGCAGCTCCATGAGTGAAATGACCTGAGGAAATAAAAGTCCCTTGTGCTTTTCTCCTCTGTCTCAGGTGACTTTTAAATGAGCTTTAACTGAGGTCAGGGAGGGGGTCTTGCTAGTGAAGAAGTGAGGGAGAGCAAGGGGGAGCCCCTGGCCTGAGGTTCTACAGCCCCAAATTCCAAGGTAAAGCTGGTAAGGGGGCCATGACCAGGACACTGGTAGAGCTGTCCACGTTCCTGGTTCATTCCTGCAGTCAAGCGTTGGGGGCATTTTGGTGTTGGTTGGTGGGGTCTGTAAGAGGTGTCCTCGGAGACCCAGTTCTTGGACTCCCAGACGAAGGCTGAGCGGGGCCCGTCCTCCTGGAAGGTGAGCCCTGGCTGGCCTGGCTGCTGAGTGAAGGCCTCGGCAGCACCTGCCCAGCCTCTCTTTTAGGAGGAAAACGGCACCTTATTGTGAGGCTCTCCCTTCTCATCTCATTTCCAATCATGTGAGCGTCTCTTCTGTGTCCTCAACAATGCCACCTGTCACTTGAAGCCAGGTAACACTCAAAGGAGGAAAACTAGAGTTGGAGTCACCCCTGGTTTCCAGGCTCCTTTTATACTGTTTCGTCCATTGATTTCCAAGGGCCCCAACCTTGTTCTCCAGACCATTTTAGCAGGATGAGAGACCCAGCAAATGCATCATTCCATCTATCCCTGCGTGTCCCCCTCAGGGGCATCTGAAAATTACTCAGCTGTTCCACCTCCCAGACAGCCAGACCCTGAGGGGGTTCTGGGGCAAGGCTGGGGCTAGGCAAGAGGAGCAAGGTGCACAGGACTCACGGCATAAGGAGGTGCTCCATCTCAGGGCTCAGTGCTTCCTTAAATGAGGTGCTCCAGGTGCCTCGCCCCAGTCCTGGCTTGGTGCTGGGCTGGTGTACTGATAACAGGATGGGCGGAGAAAAGAGGTTAAAAGGAGGTTAGAAGAGACAGTGCTAAGAGGACAAGGTGGGAAATCCAAAGTCAATGGCAAAGTAAAGAATAATGGGTGCAGGGGACTGAGGGCAGTGCTTCAAAACAAGCATCCCCACTAAGCTCTCCCACACACAGCCCTGGACAGGCCACACCGACGTCACCCAGAGAACACGGAGCAACAGGAAAACAAAACACACCCATCCTTTCTCAGGAGGTTTCCTGGGCTTCTTGTCCTGGGGAAGGGTGGGGGAATAGGGAAGGGATCCCCAAAGTCATTTCCTTCTGCTTCTACTCCCTCCTCTGACTTGACGTCTTTCTTTTTCTTGATGTCACGAACCTCATCCTAGTCATGGAGATTCAGACTCTAAGGCCTGGAAGAGCCCTTAGAGACCTCTAGACCTGCACCGTCCGGCGGGAGCCACTAGCCACACGGGACTCTTGAGCATTCACAGTGTGGCTAGCCCACACAGGCAAGTGCTGTAAGTATAAAATGCACACTGGACTTTTGAGGACATGGTTTAAAATGAAAGAATGTAAAATAGTTCATTCGTATTTTTAAAAAGATTGATTACATGGTGAAATGATGATGTTTAGGATCTATTGGGTTAAATAAAATATTACTAAAATTCATTCCCCTATTTTTTAAAATTTCTTTTTACTTCTGTTAATGTGGCCGCTGGAAAATGTAACATTACAAAGCTGGCTCCCGTTTGTGGCTCGAATGACCTATCTATTGGACAAGGCTGGTCTAGTTGAACTTCCTTCTTGAACAGAGGAGGAAACTGAGATCCAGACGGAAGACCTGACTTGGCAGATGGCACACACGAAAGAGCACTGTCATTTTCCGTTTCTACCAATTTCTCAGTTTCCTAGACACACACACACACACACACACACACACACACACACACACACACACACACCCACCCTCCGGTCGGGAAAGGAGCAGGTGGGCTTACAGACCCGTGGGCTGCAGGCCTCAAGAGAAGAGTTCCAAGACAATGGCTGTGGTTCCTTGGGTGTGAAATAAAAATCTAACAAAGGTGGAGGTATTCTCTCCAAGAAGTCACATTTTGAAAAAGTTGGGGAGCCCTGCATCTTCCCTCGTTAATTAATTTGCACAGTAACACAGGCTGGTTTACCAGGTGTGCTGTTGGGCACTTCAATAGCACAGAGGCCTCCCCCGCAGGCGGTGGGGTAGAGCTGCGCCTGAGCCCTGACACGGTGTGGGCAGCCACTTAAGGATTGTTTGACAAGTAAACAAAGACAAGTTTCAGTAGGATTGGCTTGATAATGGGAGAGGGGTGGGCAGCCGGAGGGAGGGGAACCAGATACCAAAGGCAAATTCCTTTATTTCATAATTGTATCTGGCATCCCTATTCTCAAGCTGCATTGTGAGGCTCTGAGAGAGGCAGTTAGGAAAGTAGAGAGATAATGATCTCTCCGCCCCGGGGCAGCACTAATGGGTCTCATCTGAGGACACTACTGACAAGTGGAGCCGCCACCTAACTGTGGACCCGCCAGTTAACTCTGGACGCCCAGTAAGTTTTCCTTGGCCTCCACTTCGCTTGGGCTGGTGGGCCGTGCGCAGGGGAAGGAAGGGGTAGGGAGGGGAGGGGTGGAGTGTTGGGGGCACCGCTTTCCTGCCCCTGGTTTCCCATCCTTCCCAGCTCGGCGGCCGGCGAGAGTCTTGGAAAGACAGGGAAGGGCCACCTGGGGGCCAGCTCTCCGTACTGTTTGCTCGAGTAGACACAGTAAGTTTGTAGCTCCCTGTCCCCCACCTTCCATGGGTCGTGGGACCCAGAACTTAAAGTAGGCGCCACAACCCGGCTAGCCCTTGCCCCCGGGGAACGGGAGTGCCAGGCGGGGAGCGCGGCTTGCAGGCGGATGGAGGTGGCAGCTTTCTGGACCGACACGCAGTCCGCGGGCCCCTTTCTTTGACTCGGGCGCCGGGAGACCTGCGGGTGCGCTGCTCCCGGAGCCGGCTGCTCGGCTGGGCGGGACCGCGGGGCCCTCCTCCCCATTTCAAGGGTGACTGTGCCGCTGACGTCAGGCAGCTTTTGGTTCATTCCCTGGCGCGAGGACTTTATTTTCATAACAGCGTGCAGTGCCACGGAACTGGAATAGGCGTGTCCTCCCCCCTGACCCTCTCCCGCCCCTTGTCCCTCCGCTCACCTCCTCGCTCCCTCCCTCCCTCCCTCCGGCGACAGCCGCCTTTATAACTGCTCGGCGCCTCGAGGGCGGCATCGCTTTCGCGGGCTCCCCAGCACCCAGGGGCTCCGAGCTGCCTCGAACGCGCGGGAAGCAGCGCCAGTTCCAGCGCCGAAGCCCCGGCACAGGGTAAGCGAGGCGCACGGAGCCCGGAGCGCGCCCCGCCTCCGGATGTAAATCCTGGGGGTGAGCGGGGTCGGGAGGGTGGAACGCGCGCGAGAAAGCCTGGTAATGAGGACTGCAGCTGGCTAGGAGCAGGAATGAATCCCTAGAAAGAAATGCCCCTAGTAACTAGTTTAACACAACTCGGATTGTTTTCTTCCTCTGCGCCTCCCAGGCTGAGATAGAGGCGGAGAGCGAAATGAACATCAGGCAGGAGTTTCAGACGCGTTCTACGCACTCTTGGCCGGCGGAATCCTGGCCGGGCAGGGGGCAGCTCCGGCATCCGGGAGAAGAGAAAAGAGGGAGAAAGATCTTAGAGGAAGGGGAGGCACGGGGGCGGAGGGGGTGGACACTGGGGAGGGCGGCAGGAGGGGAAAGACGGTGACAATTGTTACTTTACCCAGTTACTGAAAAGTTTCCAAGTGTTTTGTCCTTCCACAACAAGCGTGCCCTTGCGAATGTGGGGAAGTAGGTTCATAGCAGCCACCCCTTCTCTAGATGCGAGTGTGGGGCCCTCAGCTCCACAGCGGCCCCTCCGCTGCTGGCCCCGGCGGGGCTCAGGAACTCCCGCGTGTTCAGTGACAGTCCACCTTGCAAACAAGGAAACAGGACCGGAACGGCCCCAAAGATGCCTCCGAGGCCCTATGGCATCCGAGGGGAGGAAAGGCTAGCACACAGGGGGAGGTCTGCTCAGGTTCAAGGAATTTGTAGGACTTTCCATTCCTGACTTCTCTCCAGGCTGATGCTGTCCTCCGAGGGTCTGTAAATGCCACACCTGTTGCAGCTGCAGCGGAATCACCCACGGCTCCTTCCTGAGGGGGAACATTTGAGCCACTTCAGATACAAGAGGGGTGAGGATAGAGGCCCAGCTCCACTCTCCAGGCGGGGTGCTGGTTGCTACCTGGAGAGGGAAGGAATGAAGGGGAGGAAGAGTCAGGAGGAATTTTACTTGGGAGACTGACCGGCTCCTCCAGGGTTTGGAGAGGTGCTGCTTCAAGGGCAAATGGGAATGAGCAGAACATTCCTGGGAAGTGCTCTCCACTCGGGTCAGGAACCCTCCTTCCTCCTCCTGACTCCACAGGACTGTGCAGCCTTGGGAGGCAGGGCCTGGGCCCTGAGTTCCCCCGCAGCGGTTCTCAACCTGTGGGTCGCGACCCCTGAAAATACATCCTGCATATCAGATATTTACATTACGATTCATAACAGTAGCAAAATTACAGTTATGAAGTAGCAATGAAAATAATTTCATGGTTGGGGGTCACCACAACATGAGGAACTGTATTAAAGGGTCGCAGCATTAGGAAGGTTGAGAACCACTGCCCTAAGGGGTCCTGGGAAGGCCCCAGCTCCTTCCCAGGCTGAGTCCAGCCCTGGCAGTCCTCTGTGGAGCCCGCGCTGCCTTCCTGTTTCACCCTAGTGGGCACTGAAGATAACCGGGTGTGAAAAAGAATTTTAATTGTGTGATTTTATTTTTCTCACTCTGGGTGTTGGACTTAAGGTCCACCGCTATTTAAAAATCCGCAGCTTGAGTTGAGGAAATGGGCAGGAAATGATGTGTTGGTATAATAGGACTTTTAACAACAGTGAATTGAACAGTGGTTTCTCTTGAAGGGTAGATTGTCGGAGTTGTTTGGTGTGTTTGTTTTTACTTTTATTCCTATTTTTATTGATTTGTGGTTAGAATATATAGTCTGTACATTTCTTATTTTAGGATTTCACATTTTTGTATGTGGTCTAAAATATAGGTTTTTTTTGTAAGTGTTCCAAAGCCACTTCCATAGAAGCAATCATTTAGAGCCAGGGTCCGTAAACTAGGTCCATGGCCAAACACATCCCTCAGCCTATGTTTGTAAATAAAGTTTTATTGGAACACAGCCATGCTCATTTGTCGATGCATTATCTATGGCTGCTTCAGCTATAAACGTATGGATTGCAGAGCCTAAACTATTTGTTATCTGGCCCTTTACAGAAAATGTTTGCTGATCTTAGATATAGAAGATCTGAATTATTTGATTAATAATGGAGATCTAATAAGATATAAAGATAGAGAATATTTTGATTAAAGTATCCGCAGAACATATATAAACACTTACCATATTATTATTCCTTTTTTTCTATTTCATCTGCTGAGGACTGATAAAATATTAAGGTCTCCAATAATTGTAGTATTTCCTTTGATTTCTCCTTGTGTTTCTGGTAGTTTTGTTTTATGTGTTTTAGTGCTATGTTATTCAGTGCATACACCTTCATGATGATTTTATCTTCAATGTGCAGTATCCTGATTATTATAATATAATACCTTTTTGCCTACACTTTGCATTATATTAATACCTCAACTCTTTCTTGTCTTACCTTGAGCAAGCTATTTAACTTTGTACCTGACACATAATACCTGCTAAATAAACATTATCTATTATGATTGTGCTTTTTTTTTTTTTGCATTCACTTTCATTTTTTCCTTCCTTTGGCTTTCAACTTTTAAAATCCTGTTGTTTTAGGTGAGGTTCTTATAGGTATAGAATAGTTTAATTTAGTCTTTTTTCAAAATAAAAAATGTTAGCATTTACATTTATTGTAATAATAGTTGTTTGCTATTGTCATCTAATTTTTGGCCATGTATTCTGTTTTCTCCATCCTCTCCACATTAGGTAGTCTATATTGTATTTTCAGATCTACTAGGCCACTCATTGGATGGTAGTGCCATTTTCAGGACTTAGAAATACAGGCTTGCAAGGAAAGATGACAAATTTAGCTTGGGGCTTGCTGGATCAAACATGAATATGTTGCCATTATATATTGAAGTAAAATATTTTAAAATTGGTCTTTGAGAGCTTTGAGATGGTATACCAGTAGAGGACTTCACTTTATCCAACCACCTTTTTTTCTGAAAGTTTCATTTCTTTTTAAAAATAATATATTTTTATTTATTTCAGAGAAGAAGGGAGAGGGAGAGATAGAAATATCAATGATGAGAGAGAATCATTGATTGGCTGTCTCCTGCACGCCCCCTACTGGGGATTCATCCTGTAACCCCGGCATGTGCCCTTGATCTAATCAAACCCGGGACCTTCAGTCTGCAGGCTAATGCTCTATGCACTGAGCCAAACCAGCTCAGGCTGGAAGTTTCATTTCTTAAAATTCTGGGCCTAAAAGATTTGAAAGTTTCACTCAAATTCTTAAGTTTTTTAAAAAATGATTTTTAGTATTTTTAGTTTACGTTCCAGTAATTTATTTTATATTAATCTAAAGTTCACATGGTTTGTTTAGACTAGAGGAAGATGATAATATCCCCAGGAACTACCCGAAAGTAAATAAATTGGGATGAACACCATTGTTATACTTGTTTAGCTCTGCCCATCGTAGTGGAATCATTTATTTTCTCTTCAGTTACTGCATAGAAACTCAATTCAGGGATGTTATTCATAAGCTGTTGCCATGACGCATCACTTTTATGTCATCAGAATACGGACAGCTACTCAGAACAGGGGATCTGGAGATTTCCCTAGAGATACTTTCCAATTACAACTTATCCTTTATCCAGGGCAGAGAAATTTCTGTGAGACTCCACCCTTGTCTTAGAACTTAGCCTAGATAAAAATATGAGGGTCAGCACATATTCATCTCAAAAATTTGTCCTCCCCATAACACTTGCTAATAAATAACTTGCTTTGAGTAAATATTCAGCGGGCAGTCTTATTCCAAACATTTGCTCAGCAACCCCTGTGCAGAGCACACAGTGAGGGGGTACCAACAAACAGAAGATTTGCTCTATTTCCTTAATCCTTAAAATGCCTGTTATCTGATAGGCAAGTCAACCTGATATTAAAGTATAATATGTAACATATATATGGAAAACCTTCAGTGCCAAGAAGTAGTTACTTGTAAAAACTATGAAGAGACCTACAAATTTAAAATGAGATGGGACTAATAATTTTTAAAAACTTCAAGATTTGGGCCAAGTTTTGAAGAAATATGGCAAATGGATTGTGACTAGGAGAGGCAGGGTCTTTCTGGCTAAAAGAATAATGCGTGTGCTGAGGCAAAGAGGGTTACTTTGTCCAAGAAGATCTTAGATGAGCCCCAATTTCCTACCAGATAGAAAAATACTCTCGGAAACCTTGCTTGTCTTGCACAGAGGGGTAGAGAGGAGCTGGAGAGGCCGAGGAGGTGGCTGGGAGGACCAGCTAGAAAAAAGCCTTGAAGCTCAAATTGAGGCTGAATCTATTATAATGGACAAAAAGGAGCTAATATGCTTTTTAACCGCTAAGTCCATGGATCTCTTCTCAGGACTTCTTTTCTTTGCTCCCCTTGACGTGTTTAACTCCATTGACCCCTCTTTTTCTGGGGAAGCTGCTCTTTGGCTTCTGGGAAACCACCTGGGCTTATTTCTTTTTCTAACCTCCAATAATTTCTTTTTTGACATCCTTTGCTGACTTCTGCTTGGATGAGATGGTGTTCCCATGGTTCTGTCCTCGGCCCTCTCCCTCACCGTATGTGCACCCTGTGTAATCCCGTCTCCTTTCAAGGCTTCAGATGCCTTTTATGGGCCCAGTCTGTGTGTATAGCCCAAACCTCTCCTGAACCTCAGACCCACATGTCCATGTGCAGAGGGGTCAGCTCAACCTGTGTCTAAGAGCCTGGCCTTTCAGAGCCATGTGATCTTGGGCAAGTAATTTAACTTCTCTGTGCTTCATTTTCCTCAACTGTAAAAAGGGGACATCATAGTAGGGCGGTGTAGGGATTACATGAAGCTGTGTGTGGCCCAGAGTAAACTCTCAGGATAACTTCGTGTTTGTTCTTTCTGGATTCCTCCAACTGCATGTCCCGTAGTCACCTTAGATTCAACAAAGCTAGACGTGGCATCTCCCCTCATAAGCCTGTGTTTCTAAGGTCTGTTCAGTTGCCTAAACTAGAAGTCTGGAATTAACTGGATTTCTTTATTCCCCAAGTCCTGTCTCTTCTACCTTCTCCCCAATCTCCCGCCATTTCCTGCCCATCTTTCATGCCTCATCTCCTTGGATTCCTTGCTAAAGCTTTAAAAAAAAAATCCCACTAGGTAGACTGGGCCGCTGTTTTCCCTGTGCCTTCAGCATTCCCTGCACACTCAGAAACTCCTTATTTGTATGTCTGTGTGACTCTATTGGTCTTTCCAAGGGCAGCAGCCACACTTGTGGTCTGAGTGACTTGTACATTGAACATAGTACCTGACACTAGCAGGCACTTAAATGTCTGTTGATAGATAGGAAGATTGACCTAAGGCAAGACTGCTTGCTTTGGAGACTTCCCAGAGATGATTTAAATGGAGAGAAGCTGGAGTTAGGGAGAAAAGCTTCTGAGATCATAACTGATTTAGAGATGAAATAGATTCAATTATGATTAAACTCATAAAGGCATACTCTTCCTAACTATGTGACATGGGGTATGTAACTTCATCTAAGACACAGCCTTCTCACCTACAAAATGAGTTGTGGGAATATTAAATGAGATAATAGGTATAAGACATGTAAATGGGAGAGTACATATAATAAAACATATAAACGCTAAGCCTTGTGCCTGGCTCACAAGAGGACTCAGCATGCGGTGGTAGTCATCATTCCTTTTATTCATAATTATATTGTGACTGTTGTTATTACTATGGATTGAAGGTGGGAATTCAAGGGCAGAGAGGAAATTAAAATGATAGAAAATCACAAAGTTGCCTGTGATGGCTCAGCTTCAACAAACACCTAAGTTGGTTGATGTCATTCCCCAGGCAGTCCTCAGAGGAAGGTTTTGTCCTTTTCATTTTTAGATGACGGATGAGATAAATAGACGAGTCTCCTAAGGAGGAAGGTGAGATCAGCTACTGGGC